AAACAAAATTCGTATGTTTTGCAATTTAATTTAATTAGAAAATATTGTTACGTTGAGTTTCAAGGTTTTGTGTCTTTGTGGAGAGAAATTATTTTGTGAAGTTATTTTTTTGATTAATATATTAACCTATAGGTTGCATTGGTTAAAATAACGGGAATTGTTAAATTTGCATTGGTTAAAATAACGGGAATTGTTAAATTTCGCGGGTTCGGAGGGTCCGGTTGTCATAAAATTTTCTTTATTATGTTGGTATACATGCCCCCTAAGTATGATAAAAACTTTAGCTTTTTTCATTGTTTACTTTGTCTGTGGCAGCCGCTAAGGTTAGACGTGTTTTATGAACTCGTTAAAAGAAATGGATCAAAGAATTTGTATCCAATTTTGCTTAAAAAATTAAATAAATTCTGTGAAATGTTAACAAAGGCCTATAGTGAGTCTGCTATAAGTAAAACAAGAGTTTACAAGTGGTATAAGAGTTTCCAAGATGGCCGTGAAGACGTTGAAGATGACGAACGCCCCGAACGCACAAGCGCATTAACAACCGATAAAAACATGGAAAAAGTGGAAGAAATGGTTATAAACCATCAGAGAAGTCGCTGATGATGTTGGTATATCGATTGGCTCATCCCATGAAATTTTTTCGAATGTTTTGGATATGAAACGCGTGGCAGTAAAATTTGTTCTAAAATTGTTAAATTTTGAACAAAAGTTTTGGCCAAAAACAATACTGTAATGATGCCCCAGCCTCCATATTCGCCAGACATGTCTCTGTCTGACTTTTTCCTATTCCCAAAAATAAAGAGAACCTTAAAGGGCCGTCGTTTTGCAAGCATAGATGACATTAAAAGCGCATCGCTGAAAGAACTAAAGGCTATCCCAAAGATCGAGTTTTAGAAGTGTTTCGAGTATTGGAAGAAGAGCTGGCACATGTGCATAATATCCAATGGGGACTATTTTAAAGGCGACAACATTAATGTAGACGAATAAATAAATATTTGTTTCAAAAAACTAAAATTCCCGATATTTTCTGAACACACCTCGTATATCTACATTTGCTATTTGTAGAATAACAAAAAACAATAAATACAAATTTCAATGAATTCCATACTTTTGCAGTTCACTGTATAAAGTGTGTAAATTAATTTTATTTTGTTCGAAAAAAGGAAAGTGAATCAGTTTTCACTGACCTTGAAATTTCGACATATCTGGTAATTAAACAATCGAATGACTCTTCGGTTGTTTTATAGGTTGTCCAAATTGCCTGTAAAGGCGCACAATAAGCTAATAACAATAAATTTAACCAAAAGCAGTACAGTTTATAGACAAGGAAGTTACAAAATAGCTGTAGATAATGCATCTCGCGGTCGAGTTTTTGTGTGTTGATAATTAAATACATAAATAAGTAAACTAGGAAATTATTGGAATTGAGTATTGTGAATCAGGTTTTGTCATGGTGGGTTCACTTTTAATTTTATTTTTTAACATTGTTTTCTTCGCAAGAGTGACGTATATAAGTGAGATCGCATTCCTTTCAGAAGATGTAACATTATTTGCGAGAAATCCATGAGATAAAGTCAATGTTTTTTCACTCATTTACCTCAAGTTGAAGGCTTCAAATTACACAGTGTTTTTTTGTTGGCTAAGAGATCTTCAAGGAGACCATGATAAAAAACATTTTTATTGTTCTCCATTGATTTGTTTACCAGCTTTCAAAATGTCAAATTTTTCTTAATATCGAAAGTTCTACCTTGAAAATGGACTAACAACCGTTTAAATCCCATATGTAAGTAGTTTTTCACATTGAAAGTGAAGAAGATGTTATATAATAATATAATAATTTTATATTTTTGTATTAAGATAATAAAATATAAATTATACATATATAATTTTTAATAAACAAAACAAAACCTTTAATCAATAGTGCCACATCTATCTCAAAAACAAATTAAGCTAAATATAACTTACTCAAAAACTGCCTTAAGAATGTCAAATTAAGCTCAATATAACTGTCTTAAAAACTGACTTAAGTCAAATTATGCAAAATATAATGAACTTAGACAAGATATATTTATTTTAAAAACTGCTTTAAGAATGTCAAATTAAGCTAAATATAACTATGTTAAAAACTGCCTTAAGAATGTCATATTAAGCTAAATATAATTGTCTTAACAATGTCAACTTAGTCAAGATATATTTATTTTATAAACTGCCTTAATAATTTCAAATTAGGCTGTATATAACTCTTTTAAAAATGTTCACTTGGGTTAGACATAACTGTCTTAAAACCTGCCTTAAGAATGTCAACAAGATATATTTATTTAAAAAACTGCTTTACGAATGTCAAATTAAGCTAAATACAACTGTCTTAAAAACGGACTTAGGAATGTCAAATAAGGCTCAATATAACTGTCTTAAAAACTGCTTTAAGAATGTAAAATTAACCTAAATATAATTGTCTTAAGAATGTCAACTTGGTCAAGATATATTTATTGTAAAAACCGCCTAGAATGTCAAATTAAGCTGTATATTACCTATTCTCTTAAAAATATTCACTTAGAAAATATATAACTTAAAAACTGCCTTAAAAATGTCAACTTAAGCAAAATATAATTGTCTTAAGAATGTCAACTTGGACAAGATATATTTATTTTAAAAACTGCCTTAAGAATGTCAAATTAAGCAAAATAAAATTGTCTTAAGAATCTCAACTTAGACAAGATATATTTATTTTAAAAACTGCCTTAAAAATGTTAAATTAGGCTAAATACAACTGTCTTAAAAATTGACTTAAGAATGTCAAATAAAGCTCAATATAATAATATAATATAACAATTATTGTCCTAAGAATGTCAACTTGGACAAGATATATTTATTTTAAAAACTGCCTTAAGAATGTCAAATTAAGCTAAATATAACTATCCTAAAAACTGCCTTTAAGAATGTAACTATAGCCTATAGGCTGAATATAATTGTCTTTTGAATGTCAACTTAGGCAAGAAATATTTATTTTAAAAACTGCCAACTGTCTTACAAACTGTCTTGGGAATGTCAAATTAAGCTAAACTATCTTAGGAATAAACAGGCTAGATATAACTGTCTTAAAAACTGCCTTAAGAATGTCAGATTAGTATATGGAAAATGGACTAACAACCGGTTAAATTCCATATAGGAGCAGTTTTTTGCAGTAAAAGTGTTAATGCTTAATTGGCAAATATTCCGGGAAAATCAAAAGTTTAGTAAACGTTCATACAAACTATATATTTATATATAATATAATGAAAAAATAAAACTTTTGAATTCAATGTTCAATAGTGCCACATCGAGTCAACAACGTACAATATTTTGAACCAATTATGATAATTACATACATAGTTCAAAAAACAAAATCAAATTCAATCGTAATTGGGAGAAAGCTTTTAAACTTAATCATACAATAATTAGCTATGCCTCGGCGTATTCTCTCGTACTATAGGAAAGCATTGTGTAACCGATTTTTTTTAAAACAATCGTAATAAATTAGACCGTTTAATTATGCGTCAGTTACAACATTTGCAAGTATTATAACAATTGTTCCAAATCGGTGCTAAATTTTATGCTTCAAATAATTTTTTTATATGAATTATATAATGAGCATTTTGAGTTTTACTATATTTTCTTCTTTTTCTTTCGCTTTCCAACGCCACGTTGCAGTTTTTGTTTGAACTGTCTTTGTAGCTAATTTGCCCCGACCCATATCATTCCGATTTTACACTAGCTAATAATATGGCTCTAATTTTCATGAATACATATTATTATTTGTCCTAGGACTGCTAACTCAATAGGTTTCAATTTTAAGTGAATGACATCTGCATAGTTAACATTGCAAAATATAGCTAACAACTATCCTGCATTAACAATAAGTAGAAAGTGACAAACCATTTCGATTTCCGTAAAAAATAAAAGTACTAATAGAAGTTGTGCAAAACACCTGCATTGTTTTTTTTGTTTTAACCTACAATTACAATAATCATTACGATAATCGTTAAATGTTTCTCATTATTGGTACAACCACGTTAAAAACGGTGCAGAAAAAATGTTAAATATAAAAATGTAGATCTTAAATATATCAATATATGTATATCAATAGCAAATTGTCCTATTTTAACTAAACTAGTTATAAATGAAATTGTAGTTATGTTTAAATTATTGTAGGTTACGTTGAACGGTTGTCAAGTTGAGTCAAGTTGAGTTGTCAAAATTCGTAGTTACCAAATAAAAAAATATGAACTGTAGTTAACAATTACCAAAATTAGTTAAATTCAACTAAAAGTTAAACTAAACCAAAATATAAATAAATATTTGGTTTATTTATAGTCTATTCTCTTGAAATATCCTTAATTTACCTATAGGTTGTATTATTCGTTTTAAATAGAGACTACAATGCGGGAGAGACGAGGAACCTTTTACAGTTTCCGAATGAGTCTAAAAATTATATCTAAGGTAGTATCTCCAATTGAAGAGTTTTCATGGAATGTCTTCAAAATTAAATATATGATTTTGTGCTTAGAACAGACACATTCACAAATGATTTCAGATTTTTTTACAGTGATCACATCTGCAGATTCCAAGAAAAAAATTTCTCCCTTAATATTTTTTTGATTAATTAAGTCCTGTTTTTCACTTTCACTTAAATTGCCCAAAAAATTTAAAGCAACAATTAAATGATCATTTAAAATAAATTATTAAAAATTAATCATTAAATACTTTAAACATCGTAAGTAAATATTGCAAAAAGTAAAAGTGGTTTATTTATTTATTTATTTATTAGGATGATTCTTAATACTTACAAAAATAATTTATAATTGAAAACGTGATATTAACAAGTTTTATAGGTAAAATTTAATTTTTTACTCTCTAATAACTCATAGGGAAATACAGCCACGTATAACCATGCATGTAAATAGCAAAGGTGTAAATTATTCTCTCCCTGCAATAATTACGTAAAAACACCACAAACTCACCTCCAAAGTACCCCCATGTTGTTCCAGTGGACGTCAAAACACCAAGAAGAACGTCAAAATGAAAAAAGTTCCAAATCACAGAGCAATTACGAACATGGTCACTCGAACCCGGATCTCGTGGGATGAAAAACGACTGTTGAAAAAAAAGTCCGGCGCGCGAGATATACGGGTGTTATGTTGTTGAGTCGGTGCGGACCACTGCCGCGTCTCCACTCTTGGCACGCTTAATAACAGAGAAAGTCGATCTTCACTCGACCAATCAGCGGCACCAAACAGGTGGAAATTCAGCGGCACCAAGGCGCCAACCTTAAGTTCTTAAAAATCATCATCAATTTGCACTGGGCTTAAGCTAGATAACTGTCCTAAGAATGTCAAGTTTGGCTAGATATAACTGTCTTAAAAAACTGCCTTAAGAATGTCAACTTAAGATGGATACAACTCTCTTAAAAACGGCCTTAAGAAAGTCAACTTGGGCTAGATATAACTGTCTAAAAAATGCCTTAAAAATGTCAAATAAGCCAAATAACTGTCTTAAGAATATAAACAGGCTAGATGTAACTGTCTTGAAAACTGCCTTGAGAATGTCAAATTAAATAATTCTTAGGAACTACCTTAAGAATTTCAACTTTGACTAGATATAACTGTCAAAAAAACTGCCTTAAGAGTGTAAAATTAAGCAAAATATAACTGTCTTAAAAACTTCCTTAAGAATGTCAAGTTAAGCTAAATATAAAAATGTATTAAAAATATAAACTTGGGCGAGAAATAACTGTCCTAAAAACTGCCTTGAGAATGTCAATTTAAACTTATATAACTGTCTTAAAAACTGCCTTAAGAATGTCAAGTTAAGCTAAACATAACTGTTTTATAAATACAAAACTTAGGCTAGATACAACTGTCCAAAAGTTAACTTGGGCCAGGTATAAATGTCTTAAAAACTGTTCTAAGATTGTCAAATTAAGCTAAATATAACTGTCTTAAAAACTGCATCAAGATTGTTAAATAAAGCTAAGACATAACAGGCTAGATATTTCGTTCTTAAAAGCTGCCCTAACAATGTCAATATAAGCTAAAAATAACTGTCTTAAGAATTTTAACTTAGGCTAGATACAATTAATTAATAGTCTTTAAAACTGTTCTGATTTTCAAATTAATCTAAATATAACGGCCTTAAAAACTTCCTTAAGAATGTCAAGTTAAGCTAAATATAACTTAAAAATACAATGCTAGATATAACTGTTTTAAAAACTGCCTTAAGAATGTCAAATAAATTTATTAGCTTAAGCTAAGACATATGCTAGATATTTATTTCTTAAAAGCTGCCCTAACAATGTCAAATTAAGCTAAATATAACTGTCCTAAGAATTTTAACTTAGACTAGATACAACTGTCTTAAAAACTGCCTTAAGAATGTCCATGTCTTAAGAATATAAACAGGCTAGATATAACTGTCTTCAAAACTGCCTTAAAAATGTCAAATGATGTCAACTGTTTTAAAAAATTGGCTTAAGAATTTTAAATTAAGCCTAATATAACTATCTTAAAAATGTCAACTTAGGCTAGATATAGCCTTAAGAATGTCAAATGTAGCTAGATATAACTGTCTAAAAATTGCCTTAAGAATGTAAAATGAAGCTAGATACATTTGTTTAAAAATATTGTCTTAAAACTGCCTTAAGAATGTCAAATAAAGCTATATATAACTTTTAAGACATATCAGGCTAGATAATTCTTTCTTAAAAACTCTCCTAAAATGTTAAATTAAGCTAAACTGTCTTAAGAATGTCAACTAAATAGAACTGTTAAAAAAATGCCTTACAATTGCCAAATTAAGCTAAATAATTGCATTAAGAATTTAAACAGGCTAGATGAAACTGTCTTAAAAACTGCTTTAAGAATTTCAAATGAAGATAAATTTAACTGTCTTAAGAATTTTAACTTAGGCTAGATATAAATCTTTAAAATTGTCCTAAAATTGTCAAATTAGGCTAAACATAACTGTCTTATGAATTTTAACTTGGGCTAGATACAACTGTCTTAAAAACTGCCTTAATAATGACCATTTAAGCTGGATATAACTGTTTTTAAAATTGTCCTAAAATTGTCAAATTAAGCTAAATATAACTGTCTTAGAAATTTTAACTTAAGCAGGATACAACTGTCCTAAAAACTGCCTTAAGAATCTCCATTTAAGCTAAATGTTACTGTATTAAGAACTGTTTTAAAAAATTGGCTTAAAATGTTAAATTAAGCTAAATGTCTTAAAAATGTCAGCTTAGGCTAGATAGAACTATCTTAAAATCTGCCTTAAGAATTTCAAATTATTCTAAATAATGTTTACTTAAGGCTTAAGTCTTAAGCTATATATAATTATATACAGTTAACAGTTAACTGTTTAAAAAATGTCAATTTCAATTTCCATGGATCAATTGCCATTTCAAAGAATGCATAAACGAAAAATGAACTTTAAACATTACAAACAAAACTATATTTTCTATGAAAAACTTAATTTGATGTTAGTCATCGAATTTTAAATCCTGTAATGACAAAAATCCATAAAAACCTACGCGATTTTTGTCTATTTTTGTCTAGGATCAATCAAATTAAGAAATGACACCTAGGAAACCCAACAACATGTTTATTATTATTAATAATTATCAAGAAAAATACAAAGCAAGCCTTGAGCGAAACAAACAAATACCAGCGTTTAGCAATTGTTTGTCAGCCACTGGTCGAGCGCTGATTCCTTGGTTTTGTTGTCGCACATTGGGAAAGATGAGTAATTAAATAATAATAACCTTAATAATTATAGTTTGCTAATTTTTAACAAATTATAAATTTGGCGTCTGAATTTATGTTTGCAATTATAAAGAAATCACTATTATAATACCTGTATAGTTAGATCACTAATTTTTTTGGAAAATAAATTATAGGTGACAGTTTTAATTTGAAAGTGAAATGATATTTAACAGTTTAAGTTTTATTTATGGCTACTATAATGAATTCTAACTAAGGATGTTACGAGATGTAAAAGTGTTAAAATAAGCATTTAGTTTTTAAATTAAAGTAGTCTTTGCGAATTTAAATCAGCTGTGTGAGTGTTGCTGTTCTCGGGCAGTGTTGCCAGATTTATAAACCTCCAAAGATTTAACTTGTGTCCAACGAACCTAGTGCTAATGTCTACTGGCACAGAGACCTAAAAACCTCACTTAAAATTTACATAAGAGTTTCATCTCCAGATCATTGGAGCATTAAGATTTATTTGAATTATTTAATGTTGTTATCACGAGATCAGAACCGTAAAATCTTAAGTCTTATTTGCGGGCAGGACCGTAGCCACAAAAATCTCAAAAACAACCAAAAAATTCGTCATGTATACCTAATTCATAATAATTTATAACTATAAATTACACAATACAATTTCTTATGGCAAGTAAATTCGTCTTGTATAATCTGGACACTACGGTCCTGCTTAAGAGATCTTTGCTTATGTAACGCCACGAATTCAGTAGGCATCTTTGTCAAAGAACAAAAGGCAACTTGATGCAATCAAAGGCAACGGCCGATGATAAACAATTTTAATCGAATGGCTACGGTATGGCAAAAAATTGTTAAGGATAGGAATTTGGAATAAATTAACGAAAATAATTCTGGGCGCCCTTGACATTTCGTTTAATTTTCTTTTAATTCAAGATTTTGGCATTGTTTTTTTTAATAATATTATTTCATTGAATAACCATTCAGTAGGGTGGGTAATTGTTGTCTTTAAAATAATAATTGTTTTATTATTTTAATAGTTTAATAGGCAGATATAACTGTCTAAAAAATGCCTTAAAAATGTAAAATTAAGCTAAATAACTGTCTTAAGAATATAAACACTGCCTTAAGAATATCAAATAAAAATGTAAAATTAAGCTAAATAACTGTCTTAAGAATATAAACACTGCCTTAAGAATGTCAAATGAAGCTAGATACAACTGTTTTAAAAAATGCCTTAAGAATGTTAAATTAAGCCAAGTATAAACCTTATGAATATCAATTTGGGCTGAATATAACTCTTAGTTTTTAAACTGTCTTAAGAATGTGAGATTAAGCTAAATATAACTGTCTTAAGAATGTTAAATGAATCTGGATACAACTGTCTTAAAAACTGCCTTAAGAATGTCAAATGAAGCTAGATACAACTGTCTAAATATTAACTTTGGCTAGATATCTGTCTTAAAAACTGCCTTAACAATGTCAAATTAAGCTATAACTATTAAGGTATAACTATATATTCCCTTCTTGTTTTTTTTTAATATTATTATTTCATTAAATAACCATTTTAAAACTGTACTAAGATTGCCGAATTAAGGTAAATATAACGGTCTTGAGAAAAAAAACAAGATAGATATAGCTGTCTTAAAACTGCCTTAAGAATGTAAAATTAAGCTAAATATAACCCTTAAGAATATTAACTTGGGCTAAATATAACTGTCTTAAAAACTACCTACCTTAAGAATATCAAATTAAGCTTAATATAACTGTCTTAAAAATATTACCAAAAAAAATATAACTTTTTTAAAACCTACATTAAGAATGTAAAATTAAGCTAAATATAACTGTCTTAAGAATTTCAAATAAAGCTAAATATAATTCTTTAAGACATAACAGGCTAGATATGCATTTCTTAAAAAATGCCCTAAAAATGTCAAATTAAGCTAAATATCTTAAGAATTTCAACTTAGGCTATAGCCTAAAGCCTATATCTATAGATATAACTTTCTTTAAAACTTTACTAAGATTGTCAAATATGACTTTCTTAAAAATTTCAACATAATAGATATCTGTCTTAAAAATTACTTTAAGAATGTAAAATTAAGCTAAATATAACTATCTTAAACATATCAAGAATTTTAATTTGCCTTATTTAAGCTTAATATAACTGTCTTAAGAATATAAACAAGCTAGATACAACTGTCTTAAAAATATTAACTTAGAATAGATTGTCTTAAAAACTACCTTAAGAATGTAAAATTAAGCTAAATATAACTGTCTTAAAGATATCAACTTGGGCTAGATATATCTGTCATTAAAACTGTACTAAGATTGTCAAATTAAGCTAAATATAAGACATAACCCAAGCAACACGGCTCTGTAGTATATACGTTTATTAAACGTATTGTTCGTATAAAAACCGTATAACATTTCAAAGGT